GCAAAAGGAGGGGACCTAAGGGGGATTAATTCATTAATCTCATCTTGAACACATCGGTTTTAAGTTTTTTCTAGAAATACCAATTGGATACCATCGGTGGCGGAGCCAAGCTTTGGCATGACCCCATCAATTTTTAGAATTATATTTTATACCTCTTAAATTAGCTCTCTTAATTTAAAAAATTATACTTCAACCCAAAATTTAGATTCTTGTCTTTCACTTTACATGGCCCTTCAAGGTATCAAAGTTATATTTTACATCCTTAAATTGTGATCTAGGTTTTGCTTTACCCCTCAACTACTGATTTAAACACAGTGTACTCCTAAGTACTCAAATAGTCTCGTGAACTGTCTTAGTCAAAAATGTAACAATTTAAGCAAAATTAAAATTTAAAAATTCATGCAAAAAGTTAGCAATTTTAATGGTAAAATGGTGTAATGACTTCAATTTAATAATCACCAGGAAAAAATGAAAATTAGGGTAATAATTTAAAATGCCAAAGTGTAATCTTTCCAAATCTTATACGTAGGATCCAATGTTGTATAGAATATGTATTTTAGAGATATGCATACACTCTTTCTCATTTTGTCCGGATTTGCACACGTTATTTCGGCATAGTAAAATTTAATTGTACTAAGTGATTATATAATGAAATTAAATTGAATTTTTTTTTTATTTTTTTATGAATGAATTTGAAATAGTCTTGCATATAATTGATTTTTTAAAAAATAATTAATTTTTTAATTTTTTGAAAATTAACTAATTCTACAATTCATCGTGTGAAAGTTATTTTCGTGGCTCCATCCCCTAAATAACATAAATTTATTTTAAAATGACAAAAACAAATTTGGTAGTGCCACAATTCAGCCACATGGGATAAATTGTCGAAAACACTAATTTTATTTTCATATTGATTCAAGGTAGTGTTACATCAACTTTATTCTTACGGAATAAACTTTAAATACTTGCAATCATCATTTAATCACATATATATATATATCTTTTAAACTCGAGAGTCACTAATAAGAATCGAACACAGAACATCTGCATTTTTAACCCTACACCACTAAGCGACCCTAGCCATGAGCATATGAATAAGGAAAACCAACAAATCCCTTCCAAAAAAGGATCAATGGATTGAGGGGGAAAACTCAATTCTTGAAGTTCCGCACAACACTTCTACAATGGATTTTGAATTCACTCTCTAAACCCCATTTTGGTTCGGCTCGTTTTGACCTTGTTCAGCTTCTACTTGTTTTCTAAACACTTAAATAATTTTTTTAATTCAATTAAGAAAACAAATTTTTTAGATTCAATTTGAACTCGTTCAACTATCAATTCTAGATATTGTACCCCCTTTGCATACCTAAGTTAAATCTTTGTTTGTTATGCCACTTGGGCCCACCTTTGTTCTATTATCAAGTGATTTATCATGTTCAGGTGTGGCCTTCAGCCTTCTCACTACAATTGCTTAAAGCATTCCCCTAGCTAATCATTCCAATTTGGAATCCATCTTTCTTGCTACAACTTCTGACAAAATAAATTTTTTAACTCATTTTAAAAACAACTTCTGCCCATCTAATGCCAGAGGTCAATTTGATCTTCAATACTTAGTTTTTTTTGTTTGTTTGGTATTTGCGGTTAGGGTTAAGGAGTCGGGTCCATATACATGTAAACAACTTCTGATACTTGTTGTAGTCATCAAGCCTCTAGTTAATGTCTCGTGGATATGTCAATCTATTCCATACTTTTAGCAAACACATTGCAGTTTTAAATTTTCCAAAACACTGAAAACAAAAATAAAAATAATTATCAAACGACCCTTTCATCACCGCTTATAATGTTTAAACCAGTGAATATTTCAAATAAATACAATAATGAAATGAGTCTGAGACCACAAACCAAACACGGGACGTAACCAAACACAAACTTGGACCACATCATTGTGAAAAATTGAACATAGAGCAAATGTTGAAAGGGGAATAAATCCCAAATAATTAGGATAATAGTTTGATTTGAATTTCGTTACATGACTTAGATAAATCGTCAAATAAACAATGGTGAACCACCATTTTTGGATTAATGGTTCACATATAAACTAATAATACAACAATCAAACACTATCCTCATCAGAAGCAGGAGAAGGAGGATTCATATTCTTAGGGTAGCCCGCGGGCAAGGTAAATAAAGGGTCTTCACCACAAGTTCCTCTTAGTGCCGAAGCCAATCCATATCCCAAGGCTCGCGCAACAGGAACAGCCACTGCATTCCCCACTTGGATGTATCTAAAATGTATTTTGAAAAGAGAAAAAAAAGTCAGACAACCACCATAGAGCAATGCTTTAGGTATAACCATATTAACTAATCACAAACAGTGATTCGATTGATAATGAAGAAAGAGAATTCTTAATTCAATTCTCCACCTTAACGATAGAAAACAATGATTGATCAAATTCCATAGAGTCTGACTCATAATGATCATTTATCAAAGAATGACTCTAGTTATCAAATGATTGAACAGTCAGGAGCAATTTACTTACAATACTTAGTTGACATTCATAAAAAGTATCTAATGAATTATAAGTTCAATACATCATATTTAACATAAAGACGTGTATTACTTACTCATGATCAAACAATCAATTATTCACAAACCTTGCGTGGACCTAATAGTTGTCATTTCCTACTATCCTAAACTTCCATTACAAACTTATGTGCACATTCACCTAGTTTGTCATACTGGAAACAAACTCTTAAGTCTAATCCCACATATCCTTAGGAGCTTATTATTCAAGTGCATGCATAGTTACATTATCACTCTGTGTTTAAGGTTTTAAATGATTTGAAGTTAAAGTATCATAGCTAAAGATCTTATATTTGAATCTCACTACCTCCGCAATGATTATAACACTTGCACATACACAGACTCAAAGTTGAACTTGAATCAGAAGGGGCATGTTGAAATGCATAATTTTTGTCTTGTTAAGCTTTTAGATGACCTTATGGCTTAACACTACCATACCCTGAAATACCATAGAGATGCTACAACTTCCAATCTGATCTCCCAACCCCCACCCCGACACCCTTTCAAAATTTCTTTCTAGTTCTAAAATAGAATTCATCTGCAAACTACAAGAACTAAATGAGGACATTTCTAAGCTTTGATTTTCAATTCAGATGTACTCAAATCTGATACTTTCTCCCAATTTGATTTGAAAGCATAATTCACTGAATACAAACTACAAAATCATCAAATTTAATCGTAATAAGATACATTTTTTTTGTCTTTTGTACGATAGTGTAAGTAACATTCAAGACACAATGGAGATAGAACTTCATTTCTTTCAAGTATAAAGTATTGGGAACGAACATTAATCAGCAGATAAAGTAACAAATGTGTATGATAGTTCCTTTCGAAACAGAACATTACAAACAAAATGTGCTCATATGTATTCGACCAAACAAACATGAAAAGATTTGTCATGGTGAGAATCAAGGTGGAAGAGGTGGCACAAAAGATTCAAAGACAATCAAATGGACAGGTAAAGTACAAAAGCTGCAAAAAAGGCATTTAAGAAAAAAAATTGTAATTACTTGAAATAACGTAAATCACAAGGCATTATCCTCAGAATTTTTTTTACCTTTCTTTAATTGGGCCAATAAGTTTATAATAATCAGGAAAGCCTTGCAGTCTTGCATTTTCCCGAATTGATAGGACTCTGTTTTGCTGAGGATGCAATATTGCCTAACAAGTGACAGAGATTCAAAATATGATATTAGACAGGAAGTTTTATGCCTACCATCATAAGGACATGCCTCATAAGGGCATGCAAAGAAAAAAGACAACCTGGTTGTGGGGCTCCGCTCTAGTAACCACTGTAGGCACTATCTCATCCCACCATAATCGAGCAAATGGTCTGCACAAGTTTGCACGTTTGAGTATGCAGAAGTATATCACACAACTTACAAAATTATGAATTTAACTGAGCATTCCATACTTTGATGAACTTCCATTGACAAAAGTCATTGCATAATCAGGCACCTAGCATTAAGTGTAACATGATCAGATTCAAGCAACATTGTCAGGTAAAAAGAAAAAAAAAATATATATATATATATATATAACATGGGTGGAGCTATTCCCACTACACTAAATTCTCTATTGACAAAACTACTATTCTCGCTCCAGACTATACAAAATGCATTAACAAACAAGTCATACCAATGGTTTCCCAGAAGATAGATACACCCTCGGTANTTCCCACTACACTAAATTCTCTATTGACAAAACAACTATTCTCGCTCCAGACTATACAAAATGCATTAACAAACAAGTCATACCAATGGTTTCCCAGAAGATAGATACACCCTCGGTATATCTGTGTCCCATTCAACTTTGTTGTCCTCACGAACCCGTACCCCTCTCAAATCCCTGAAGTTTGCACCCTAAGCAAAACAAACAAACAAACAAACAATGGGGTGAGTCAAAAGACTATAGTGTTTCAAATTTTTCGNTCTCGCACGGTTGCAAGTCTGTTGTGCTTTTAGCTTGTGTGAATTGACTGAATCAGGAACTAGCCTAAAGGGTGCATTCCTAAGGAGAAGCATAGACTCTATTCTTCACTTGATAGAAGCGTGGAGATTGGCTCGCCTCCTCCTTTATCCCTAATTTAGAAACTTGCCCTGCACGAAAATGATGGAATTCATTCTGAAACTTCTATTGTTAAGTGTCCAATTTAGTTTCACTCTGTCATCATTCCATACATCGAAAGTTATTAATGTCCGACCCTAATCCTTCCTCCCAGCAAAAGGAGGGGACCTAAGGGGGATTAATTCATTAATCTCATCTTGAACACATCGGTTTTAAGTTTTTTCTAGAAATACCAATTGGATACCATCGGTGGTGGAGCCAAGCTTTGGCATGACCCATCAATTTTTAGAATTATATTTTATACCTCTTAAATTAGCTCTCTTAATTTAAAAAATTATACTTCAACCCAAAATTTATATTCTTGTCTTTCACTTTACATGGCCCTTCAAGGTATCAAAGTTATATTTTACATCCTTAAATTGTGATCTAGGTTTTGCTTTACCCCTCAACTACTGATTTAAACACAATGTACTCCTAAGTATTCAAATAGTCTCGTGAACTGTCTCAGTCAAAAATGTAACAATTTAAGCAAAATTAAAATTTAAAAATTCATGCAAAAAGTTAGCAATTTGAATGGTAAAATGGTGTAATGACTTCAATTTAATAATCACCAGAAAAAAATGAAAATTAGGGTAATAATTTAAAATGCCGAAGTGTAATCTTTCCAAATCTTATATGTAGGATCCAATGTTGTATAGAATATGTATTTTAGAGATATGCATACACTCTTTCTCATTTTGTCCGGATTTGCACACGTTATATCGGCATAGTAAAATTTAATTGTACTAAGTGATTATATAATGAAATTAAATTGAATTTTTTTTTATTTTTTTATGAATGAATTTGAAATAGTCTTGCATATAATTGATTTTTTAAAAAATAATTAATTTTTTAATTTTTTGAAAATTAACTTATTCTACAATTCAATGTGTGAAAGTTATTTTCATAATTTCTATACAATAAAAAATTTGACGCTCACAATAATTCATCGGCCTCCCTCAACATAAAATTGTGGCTCCATCCCCTAAATAACATAAATTTATTTTAAAATGCCAAAAACAAATTTGGTAGTGCCACAATTCAGCCACATGGAATAAATTGTCGAAAGCACTAATTTTATTTTCATATTGATTCAAGGTAGTGTTACAGCAACTTTATTCTTACGGAATAAACTTTAAATACTTGCAATCATCATTTAATCACATATATATATCTTTTAAACTCGAGAGTCACTAATAAGAATCAAACACAGAACATCCGCATTTTTAACCCTACACCACTAAGCGACCCTAGCCATGAGCATATGAATAAGGAAAACCAACAAATCCCTTCCAAAAAAGGATCAATGGATTGAGGGGGAAAACTCGATTCTTGAAGTTCCGCGCAACACTTGCACAATGGATTTTGAATTCACTCTCTAAACCCCATTTTGGTTCGGCTCGTTTTGGCCTTGTTCAGCTTCTACTTGTTTTCTAAACACTTGAATAATTTTTTAAATTCAATTAAGAAAACAAATTTTTTAGATTCAATTTGAACTCGTTCAACTATCAATTCTAGATATCGTATCCCTTTGCATACCTAAGTTAAATCTTTGTTTGTTATGCCACTTGGGCCCACCTTTGTTCTATTATCAAGTGATTTATCATGTTCAGGTGTGGCCTTCAGCCTTCTCACTACAATTGCTTAAAGCATTCCCCTAGCTAATCATTCCAATTTGGAATCCATCTTTCTTGCTACAACTTCTGACAAAATAAATTTTTTAACTCATTTTAAAAACAACTTCTGCCCATCTAATGCCAGAGGTCAATTTGATCTTCAATACTTAGTTTTTTTTGTTTGTTTGGTATTTGCGGTTAGGGTTAAGGAGTCGGGTCCATATACATGTAAACAACTTCTGATACTTGTTGTAGTCATCAAGCCTCTAGTTAATGTCTCGTGGATATGTCAATCTATTCCATACTTTTAGCAAACACATTGCAGTTTTAAATTTTCCAAAACACTGAAAACAAAAATAAAAATAATTATCAAACGACCCTTTCATCACCGCTTATAATGTTTAAACCAGTGAATATTTCAAATAAATACAATAATGAAATGAGTCTGAGACCACAAACCAAACACGGGACGTAACCAAACACAAACTTGGACCACATCATTGTGAAAAATTGAACATAGAGCAAATGTTGAAAGGGGAATAAATCCCAAATAATTAGGATAATAGTTTGATTTGAATTTCGTTACATGACTTAGATAAATCGTCAAATAAACAATGGTGAACCACCATTTTTGGATTAATGGTTCACATATAAACTAATAATACAACAATCAAACACTATCCTCATCAGAAGCAGGAGAAGGAGGATTCATATTCTTAGGGTAGCCCGCAGGCAAGGTAAATAAAGGGTCTTCACCACAAGTTCCTCTTAGTGCCGAAGCCAATCCATATCCCAAGGCTCGCGCAACAGGAACAGCCACTGCATTCCCCACTTGGATGTATCTAAAATGTATTTTGAAAAGAGAAAAAAAAGTCAGACCACCACCATAGAGCAATGCTTTAGGTATAACCATATTAACTAATCACAAACAGTGATTCGATTGATAATGAAGAAAGAGAATTCTTAATTCAATTCTCCACCTTAACGATAGAAAACAAGGATTGATCAAATTCCATAGAGTCTGACTCATAATGATCATTTATCAAAGAATGACTCTAGTTATCAAATGATTGAACAGCCAGGAGCAATTTACTTACAATACTTAGTTGACATTCATAAAAAGTATCTAATGAATTATAAGTTCAATACATCATATTTAGCATAAAGACGTGTATTACTTACTCATTATCAAACAATCAATTATTCACAAACCTTGCGTGGACCTAATAGTTGTCATTTCCTACTATCCTAAACTTCCATTACAAACTTATGTGCACATTCACCTAGTTTGTCATACTGGAAACAAACTCTTAAGTCTAATCCCACATATCCTTAGGAGCTTATTATTCAAGTGCATGCATAGTTACATTATCACTCTGTGTTTAAGGTTTTAAATGATTTGATGTTAAAGTATCATAGCTAAAGATCTTATGTTTGAATCTCACTACCTCCGCAATGATTATAACACTTGCACATACACAGACTCAAAGTTGAACTTGAATCAGAAGGGGCATGTTGAAATGCATAATTTTTGTCTTGTTAAGCTTTTAGATGACCTTATGGCTTAACACTACCATACCCTGAAATACCATAGAGATGCTACAACTTCCAATCTGATCTCCCAACCCCCACCCCGACACCCTTTCAAAATTTCTTTCTAGTTCTAAAATAGAATTCATCTGCAAACTACAAGAACTAAATGAGGACATTTCTAAGCTTTGATTTTCAATTCAGATGTACTCAAATCTGATACTTTCTCCCAATTTGATTTGAAAGCATAATTCACTGAATACAAACTACAAAATCATCAAATTTAATCGTAATAAGATACATTTTTTTTGTCTTTTGTACGATAGTGTAAGTAACATTCAAGACACAATGGAGATAGAACTTCATTTCTTTCAAGTATAAAGTATTGGGAACAAACATCAATCAGCAGATAAAGTAACAAATGTGTATGATAGTTCCTTTCGAAACAGAACATTACAAACAAAATGTGCTCATATGTATTCGACCAAACAAACATGAAAAGATTTGTCATGGTGAGAATCAAGGTGGAAGAGGTGGCACAAAAGATTCAAAGACAATCAAATGGACAGGTAAAGTACAAAAGCTGCAAAAAAGGCATTTAAGAAAAAAAATTGTAATTACTTGAAATAACGTAAATCACAAGGCATTATCCTCAGAATTTTTTTTACCTTTCTTTAATTGGGCCAATAAGTTTATAATAATCAGGAAAGCCTTGCAGTCTTGCATTTTCCCGAATTGATAGGACTCTGTTTTGCTGAGGATGCAATATTGCCTAACAAGTGACAGAGATTCAAAATATGATATTAGACAGGAAGTTTTATGCCTACCATCATAAGGACATGCCTCATAAGGGCATGCAAAGAAAAAAGACAACCTGGTTGTGGGGCTCCGCTCTAGTAACCACTGTAGGCACTATCTCATCCCACCATAATCGAGCAAATGGTCTGCACAAGTTTGCACATTTGAGTATGCAGAAGTATATCACACAACTTACAAAATTATGAATTTAACTGAGCATTCCATACTTTGATGAACTTCCATTGACAAAAGTCATTGCATAATCAGGCACCTAGCATTAAGTGTAACATGATCAGATTCAAGCAACATTGTCAGGTAAAAAGAAAAAAAAAAAATATATATATATATATATAACATGGGTGGAGCTATTCCCACTACACTAAATTCTCTATTGACAAAACTACTATTCTCGCTCCAGACTATACAAAATGCATTAACAAACAAGTCATACCAATGGTTTCCCAGAAGATAGATACACCCTCGGTATATCTGTGTCCCATTCAACTTTGTTGTCCTCACGAACCCGTACCCCTCTCAAATCCCTGAAGTTTGCACCCTAAGCAAAACAAACAAACAAACAAACAATGGGGTGAGTCAAAAGACTATAGTGTTTCAAATTTTTCGTCAATAGCATATATACCCAAACACTCGGACAAGTTGCAAAACCTTTTTCATTGGTATTTGACACACACGTTGGTAATCATCATCATTCAATTTAAGAGGTCGATGATCAAAAATCTGATGTGGCAATGCTTCTGACCCAAATGAGGAACATCCTGGCATCTCTACATGGCATACAAAGAAAAAGTGTATCAAAGGAAGCAAATTATGAACAACGGTGATATGTAATTGGCACTACTATTTGAAAACCCCACAATGTGCTAACTTGAAATAATAGAAGACTGGCAGCATAGAAAGTAGATCATGATCAACTTTGGCAAAGAGAGTTATAAAAATTAAACCGTATATATACATATCTTCAGAAATTGGAAAAGTATTCTTTTAAATTACAGCATAACAACAACAGCCACCAACATTCAAAAACAACAAATAGCGAATGGGTAGCCAATAACTTTATACTTGGGGCATGAATATACTGTTACTATAACCAAAAGTTCTGATTGCAACTTGGACCTCAATCTATAGAGGGAAAAAACAATAATCAAGGTTAAAGTAAAGCAAATCGCCTAGACAGACACAAAGGCTCCACATGTGTTTATGCCTTATACAAGTCATATAAAATGCAATCATGTTAATCATAGATTTGCTAAGAATCCATTGTGTCAAAATTGAAATGACAAAAAAATATAAGAAAAGAGTTCACAAGCTCACAATACAACACTACCAGTAGGGAGAGGATAGATGACAAAGAGGAAGGAAATTTCATATGCGTTAATATAAGGAAGATATGAGTATATCTCAATTCAACAAAACAAAGAACACAAAAGGAAAAGACCAAACATTTCATTGATGAGCTTTACTTGAATAAATAAGAATCCATCTGTTTATATTGACCTCCCATTAGCTGCTCGGCTTCGCAGGTAAATATAAAATATAGTAAATTTTACCAGCTCAAAACTTTTGGATGAATTTGTCAGCAGAACAAATACACCAAATTCTATTTGTTGACCTAACAGTTACAAAGGAATGAAATTGTTATCAAGTAATCAACACAAAGAACCCTAATCAAATGCTTATAAATAAATCACAAACGAAATTAGACTTGGATCAAAATCAAAAACATTGGCATGCCCACTGGCCATGCAACACAAAATGCGCTTTCTACATATTATCACACTTCTGACAATATTATTTGCTTTATGCAGTAAGACTACTAAAATTGCAATATCAATTTCCATGACTATCACTAAGAAAGGATGTAATTTTGTTCATATTTACACTTCGAGTTAATCCAACCCTCATTATTTTTACCACTTATAGTGATGCTAATACACGGGAAAACCAAATGTTTACTTTTGAGAAAGAATATACTAAGCTCACCGTCTTTTCTTAATCTGATGAAGTGTTGAAAACCTGTCTCTGGTGCACCATCATATGGTATTTCATCACGTGCCTCATCATTCTCCACCTAGATAAAATAAATTGTTCAAACACAATAAAAAATTCAATGCTTATCAAATAACTAACAGAACCTTTGTAACATGGTTTTACATACGGGGGGAAGGTCTGAAATTGCATCCCCAAGCAAGAGTGCCTTCTCCAATTCAGCTTTATGGCCACCTTCATAACCAACGGTGTTTGACTGCATACATATGCAAATTTAGGAAAGAATTAGCAGCAAAAGTTTTAAGTGTGAGATGGACAATAAAATATAAAGGATCCTACCTCAAATTCAGTAGGAACTACACCCCTCCCAGCAACATTATGTGTGGGTAATGGGTATTGAGGCAATTTCTGCATATAGAAAATATTCAGATGTTATGGAACATAAATCAACAGTCTGAATTAAACAAAACTATCAAAATCACCTCTGTAGGATGAGCACCCCACAGGAAAACACGCATCCGGAACTGTGGGAGCCCATAAGCACCAGATGCCATCATCCCTAGTCGTGCTTGATAATTCATTCCAACTAGACTACCCAAAGCATATCTTCCAAGAAAGCCACCCGCAAACTTAACAATGTCAACCACATTTTCCATCAGCACAAATCTTGGCTTTAAGAAATTCACAATATCCATGAACACAACAAGTTGTTTATTTTTAGGATCTTCTAAAGGATTTTTAGTATTCCTAAAGCGATTGAATCCACTTATGCCTTGACAAGGAGGACCCCCACATATAACTTCAACAGTGCCCTATGTTACATCACACAGAAAAAGAAAAATTAGCAATATTGATTTCAAAATTGAGCCAATCATATTTTGTATGGAACAAGTACAATTATAAAAACTTACAGGCAAAGGCAGAATCTTTNGAATTAGCGATATTGATTTCAAAATTGAGCCAATCATATTTTGTATGGAACAAGTACAACTATAAAAACTTACAGGCAAAGGCAGAATCTTTAATTTATAGCCATCGGTGACAAATTCCTTTATCTTTTCACGACAATCACTAGTAAAGATACATTGCATGTCAGACAACCGAATTGCAGAATATAACACGGGATTAAGCAATAAAAACGAACAAATTGAATTTAATAGCATACCCTAAGCCCTCTATAGGCTCCCAGGTGTCTTCCNAAATTAGCAATATTGATTTCAAAATTGAGCCAATCATATTTTGTATGGAACAAGTACAATTATAAAAACTTACAGGCAAAGGCAGAATCTTTAATTTATAGCCATTGGTGACAAATTCCTTTATCTTTTCACGACAATCACTAGTAAAGATACATTGCATGTCAGACAACCGAATTGCAGAATATAACACAGGATTAAGCAATAAAAACAAACAAATTGAATTTAATAGCATACCCTAAGCCCTCTATAGGCTCCCAGGTGTCTTCCTCTGGCCCATAACCCTTCCAACTAATCTAGAGCCAAACAATTTTAAAAACTTGAGAAACAAAGGAAATGTGACTGAAATTGTTGTCAAAAAATTTAAAGCTTCTGTAGGTGAATAATATGAGCACCTTACTACACAATGAAACAACATAATTAAAACTCCTATAACATGAACTGACAAGTAGAATGATTGCAAAAGAAAGGTCTAGATGAAATTTTCTTCATTAATAATAACAAACTCAAATTCATAGTTTTTGTATTAAAGTAACTACTAATGTGTAATTACAGACATACTGTTTAAATACCTTAAGATATAGTCCAGGTTTCTTGATTTCGTTTGGGTCACCATAACATATTGCCAAAATCTCCTCCACTTCAAATACTTCATTATCTTCCTCGTCATCACCACTAGCTTCATCATCATCGCCTTCATCATTTTCTGTTCTTAGAGGATCTACACATTGCTCTTGTGATTCCCTACTTCCTATTAATGAATAGGAAGCACAGAGCTTCTCCCACTCCTTTAACAGAGATAGAAAGTCTTCTGCTGATTCATTTCTAACCTACATTGTAATAAAGATCAGCAAAAGGAGTCCTATGGTTATGAGTTTATGACAAAACATACTCACAGACAGAAGAGAAATATTGTAGCAAAGTATACCTGAGTCTCAGGATGGTTCAATTTCAGGCTTTTACATGCATATGGATTTAAGTCAACAGCCCATTTCTGTGTCAAATTGTATGAAAAAAAACAAATAAAAAAGCTGGTTTTATCTGCTAAAATCATTTTATAACAAATTGCGGACATAATTCCATAACTTACAGTAACCAGATTAACACCATAACTGTTGGCACCAAGGCAAATTCCTGTGGACATTGCACCACAACCAGAGTAGAGGTCCAAAAGTGACATCTCCAATTTTTTATGCTTTTCAACTTGGGAATTTTCCTCACCCCGCACAGTTCCAGCAACATCAGCCTCACTGGAGATTGTAGAATCTGATTCACTTCCAGCTCCCATATTATCTGCAAAAACTAAATGCTGAGAACTGTACAACTGTCCTCTCTCTCACTTTCACCAAACAGATGCCATGAAAGCAGATTGAGTTTTTATTTTAGTACTTGAAAGGAAAAACATACCTGGTGGTGGCAAGCTCACAAAAGAGGAATATGGCAACAAGTACATCATGTCATAGTAATAGTTGCAATCTGAAATTGCACCATTCTTGGAACACAAATCAACCTGAAAAAACAAGCTATGTACATTAATTCAAAAACAGAGACTATGTTACCCAATGACTTTTATGTTGGGCAAGATCAGTCACACATTTAGAGGCAAATGGATAATTTTCAGTCTCTCAACCAGGCAATCCAATGGATTGTCATCCTTCACTTCAGATAAAAATACACGCTTATCATCAATAAGGTTACAACAATTCTGAATGACCTGAAAAGGCAACAAAAGTAAAACATCAGAGGACTATCATATCAGTAAATGGAATAGCAAGGCTAGCTGGACATAATTTCCTCAATTCCTACCGTATCACAGGCCCTATAGAACCATTGAGCTGTGAAGTAAAGTGTGTCATCCACCGCCTCAAAGAACTCCACAATTCTACAAATATAATAATCTTTTCCCTCTTCAGCCTAAACAAAACAAATTAATTAGAAAATATGGATCACATAATGATTCACAGCAAGTATATGTACAAACAAAAACAATGTAGAGTTCTGTAATATTTGACAAACACCATCAAACTAATGAACAAATTTACCCAAAAAAACCCAACACAGGAAACATATTAAACTATGAAATGGAGTTTTGTTGTCACATTTTCAGCTGAGAAATCATCCATCATTGATATTGTCTCATGTAACAACTCCTCTTATGCTTTATCAAAAGTACATATTTTGTTAAATGACAAGCTATCTTGGTGTTTTTAAATATTTCTTTAAACTTCTATTTCAACCTACATTTATCCTTAGCATTATCATCAAAGACATCCCACCCATCAACCCAATAAAAAGATTGGATCAATGGATCACTAGTTCAATAATTGGATAAACAAGTACGAATGGTCATACCTAAAAAATAACAAGAAATAAAAATTAGGCTGCAATATTGGAGTAATTCTAACAATAGTATATTTTATTCCAAGTGTACCAAATGGATGCACATATAGAAAAATATCAATCGATAGCCAAAAAAATTCAACCCAATTATAAAGATAGAAGTTAAGTCTTGAATTTTAATCTTTCAACAGGGTTAATGGGTTCCTCCACTTGGTCAATGGATCTCTGATCCAACCATATGTTCATCCGGGTCCTAACAAGTTTAATGAAAAAAGAATCTTAATGTTAATCCAATCCAATTTAGGCACCAGGTTGGCCCGCCAAGCCGATAACAGTGCTGCTCAATTTATATTTTTATTGACCTCCCTTAAATACAAACAAATTCTTAGAAACTATTATCTCAAGTCTTAGTTGTTGCGTCGATCACTCTCTCCAAAAGTTTGATTGTAGGACTCGTTAATTTGGGCATATAATTTGGCAACTTTAAACGTTTCCCTAATTCATATAAATACTAAAAATATTCGTCTCTATAAAAAAAATTATCAACCAATATAACCTGACATCTCATAAACACTTTCATATCACAATACGTCATCACATCCTAAAGCCTTCCCAATTTTTTTTAAATGATATCTGTTTTATGCCGAGCACCTTACTTTTATGAAAATACTCGATTGTCTTAAATATGCACACAAAAAACCTAAAGATATGGTTTTGCCTTAAAATCAAATTCGGTTAGAACTAAAACAATGAAAGNGAGTTCTGTAATATTTGACAAACACCATCAAACTAATGAACAAATTTACCCAAAAAAACCCAACACAGGAAACATATTAAACTATGAAATGGAGTTTTGTTGTCACATTTTCAGCTGAGAAATCATCCATCATTGATATTGTCTCATGTAACAACTCCTCTTATGCTTTATCAAAAGTACATATTTTGTTAAATGACAAGCTATCTTGGTGTTTTTAAATATTTCTTTAAACTTCTATTTCAACCTACATTTATCCTTAGCATTATCATCAAAGACATCCCACCCATCAACCCAATAAAAAGATTGGATCAATGGATCACTAGTTCAATAATTGGATAAACAAGTACGAATGGTCATACCTAAAAAATAACAAGAAATAAAAATTAGGCTGCAATATTGGAGTAATTCTAACAATAGTATATTTTATTCCAAGTGTACCAAATGGATGCACATATAGAAAAATATCAATCGATAGCCAAAAAAATTCAACCCAATTATAAAGATAGAAGTTAAGTCTTGAATTTTAATCTTTCAACAGGGTTAATGGGTTCCTCCACTTGGTCAATGGATCTCTGATCCAACCATATGTTCATCCGGGTCCTAACAAGTTTAATGAAAAAAGAATCTTAATGTTAATCCAATCCAATTTAGGCACCAGGTTGGCCCGCCAAGCCGATAACAGTGCTGCTCAATTTATATTTTTATTGACCTCCCTTAAATACAAACAAATTCTTAGAAACTATTATCTCAAGTCTTAGTTGTTGCGTCGATCACTCTCTCCAAAAGTTTGATTGTAGGACTCGTTAATTTGGGCATATAATTTGGCAACTTTAAACGTTTCCCTAATTCATATAAATACTAAAAATATTCGTCTCTATAAAAAAAATTATCAACCAATATAACCTGACATCTCATAAACACTTTCATATCACAATACGTCATCACATCCTAAAGCCTTCCCAATTTTTTTTAAATGATATCTGTTTTATGCCGAGCACCTTACTTTTATGAAAATACTCGATTGTCTTAAATATGCACCCAAAAAACCTAAAGATATGGTTTTGCCTTAAAATCAAATTCGGTTAGAACTAAAACAATGAAAGCACCAAAGCTTTAGAAATATGCAAAAAAAAATTACAATTACGTCGTGTTTGCATGCAATCTTATATTAATCTTACTTTCTGCTTTCCAGTTACATAATCTTGGATTAATTCCCATGCAAAACAACATCAATACTAAAGGAAATGTGCAATCATGCACAAAAAACTAGTAGTATAAAAAGAAAAGAATCTAGAATTACACTAACAAGACAATTTAGATGAATTTTACGGTTGAAAAAATGCCTCCATAACTAAAATGGAGTTTTGAAGGGAACAGTCAATATGGAATCAATAAATATTGACTTTCCCTAGTGTTGTGGCTGCATGATCAATCCAATNCTAAAAAATAACAAGAAATAAAAATTAGGCTGCAATATTGGAGTAATTCTAACAATAGTATATTTTATTCCAAGTGTACCAAATGGATGCACATATAGAAAAATATCAATCGATAGCCAAAAAAATTCAACCCAATTATAAAGATAGAAGTTAAGTCTTGAATTTTAATCTTTCAACAGGGTTAATGGGTTCCTCCACTTGGTCAATGGATCTCTGATCCAACCATATGTTCATCCGGGTCCTAACAAGTTTAATGAAAAAAGAATCTTAATGTTAATCCAATCCAATTTAGGCACCAGGTTGGCCCGCCAAGCCGATAACAGTGCTGCTCAATTTATATTTTTATTGACCTCCCTTAAATACAAACAAATTCTTAGAAACTATTATCTCAAGTCTTAGTTGTTGCGTCGATCACTCTCTCCAAAAGTTTGATTGTAGGACTCGTTAATTTGGGCATATAATTTGGCAACTTTAAACGTTTCCCTAATTCATATAAATACTAAAAATATTCGTCTCTATAAAAAAAATTATCAACCAATATAACCTGACATCTCATAAACACTTTCATATCACAATACGTCATCACATCCTAAAGCCTTCCCAATTTTTTTTAAATGATATCTGTTTTATGCCGAGCACCTTACTTTTATGAAAATACTCGATTGTCTTAAATATGCACACAAAAAACCTAAAGATATGGTTTTGCCTTAAAATCAAATTCGGTTAGAACTAAAACAATGAAAGCACCAAAGCTTTAGAAATATGCAAAAAAAAATTACAATTACGTCGTGTTTGCATGCAATCTTATATTAATCTTACTTTCTGCTTTCCAGTTACATAATCTTGGATTAATTCCCATGCAAAACAACATCAATACTAAAGGAAATGTGCAATCATGCACAAAAAACTAGTAGTATAAAAAGAAAAGAATCTAGAATTACACTAACAAGACAATTTAGATGAATTTTACGGTTGAAAAAATGCCTCCATAACTAAAATGGAGTTTTGAAGGGAACAGTCAATATGGAATCAATAAATATTGACTTTCCCTAGTGTTGTGGCTGCATGATCAATCCAATTTAATGCGAGCTAGTTCCAAAGTTAGTAATAGAACAAAAAATTTATATCCAACCAAACTACAACAGAATTATCACTGTAGTTATTACGAGCTACCATTCAAAGATGGTACTCTTTCACTTACCAAATGAGTTAACACTGAAAAAGCAACCTAAATGGCTGTGCTAGTAAATAAAATAGACCCTTATCATATATGTCCCGTGTTTGTACACTTACCTACAGTGACTAAACCTTTTGTGTACGAATAAGCATGGGACACATGCATGGTAATTATTTGCTTACTTGTACAAGGTAACTATGCCTTGCTTATTTACCTAACTAATGCACTTTTTTTTTCGGTAAATAAATGAATTTTATTGGATAAATATAAAGTTCTATTACAAAGAGGGAAAACAACAGAAAACCCTCAAGAAACCAACTAAACCACAAGTTTAGCAAATGGACAATGGAAAAAAAGTTAGGCAAAAACCAAAGACAACTCTATTCTAGACCAACTGATCATGCATATGTCAAATTTTGCTCTTCCAATGATATCATGCTGAAGCATATCTTTCAGGTAATTGCCAACAACAAGCAATTTTTTTATCTTCACTGCAATTGCTGAACTTCAAAGACATCAACCTGCTTCTAATGGACTCCCTAATTTACCTTTTAATGCCGCAACATCCCTGCTTAGATTGCTATAAATTCAGAAATTCCTCTCTCTCCATAGATGATACACAGTCACAACCAAACATAGTTTCTTGATCATAACCTTTTTAGATTTGCCTCTCCTTTTTGAAGCTATCAAAATAAGCTTCAACCATGGCACATTCTGCCAGTTAACTCCACGTTGGGATATAATTCCTAACCAAACATCTGCAGCATAAGAACACTCAAAAAACAAATGATTATGGGACTCCATTGCATTTAAATAAAGAACACACTCAATTCCCAGCTGAAGAGCATATGCCACTGTTCTATCTCTAGTATTAAGCTTCCCTTGATTTGCAATCCAAAGAATGAAGCTCATTCTTGGTATCATTTGGCTAAAACAAACTAATTTATGCCACGGGACTTTAGAAGCTGTCATCCTTAGAAATTTCCAAGTGGAATAAGCATAATACACACCATTGCTTGAGGGAGTCTATTTAACAATGTCATTACAATTTGGATTCCTTGGATAAGGAGGCATGAAATTCTTAAGGGTGAGATTGTTCCCACCCCAAAAATTTTCATTCCCACCGCATTTAATTTCTTATTAACAAACTACTAAGCTCACCCCCTATATACCCACCCCTATTAGTAACTAAATCCACCTATGCCATAGGTCCCTTTAATAAATAATTTAAAAACAAGAAAGAAAAATTTATCAAAACCCAAAAGAAAATTAAAAAAAAGGATCAAGAAAACAAAAGAAAAAATATATCACCGGAAAAATAAAAAACAAAACAAGCTTTCTAATTCACAAACAACACAAGNCGTTGGGATATAATTCCTAACCAAACATCTGCAGCATAAGAACACTCAAAAAACAAATGATTATGGGACTCCATTGCATTTAAATAAAGAACACACTCAATTCCCAGCTGAAGAGCATATGCCACTGTTCTATCTCTAGTATTAAGCTTCCCTTGATTTGCAATCCAAAGAATGAAGCTCATTCTTGGTATCATTTGGCTAAACCAAACTAATTTATGCCACGGGACTTTAGAAGCTGTCATCCTCAGAAATTTCCAAGTGGAATAAGCATAATACACACCATTGCTTGAGGGAGTCTATTTAACAATGTCATTACAATTTGGATTCCTTGGATAAGGAGGCATGAAATTCTTAAGGGTGAGACTGTTCCCACCCCAAAAATTTTCATTCCCACCGCATTTAATTTCTTATTAACAAACTACTAAGCTCACCCCCTATATACCCACCCCTATTAGTAACTAAATCCACCTATGCCATAGGTCCCTTTAATAAATAATTTAAAAACAAGAAAGAAAAATTTATCAAAACCCAAAAGAAAATTAAAAAAAAGGATCAAGAAAACAAAAGAAAAAATATATCACCGGAAAAATAAAAAACAAAACAAGCTTTCTAATTCACAAACAACACAAGCCNATTTGACAAACACCATCAAACTAATGAACAAATTTACCCAAAAAAACCCAACACAGGAACATATTAAACTATGAAATGGAGTTTTGTTGTCACATTTTCAGCTGAGAAATCATCCATCATTGATATTGTCTCATGTAACAACTCCTCTTATGCTTTATCAAAAGTACATATTTTGTTANCACACACACACACACACACACACAAACCCTAAATCAAATTATTAAACTTGACAAAGTTACCAAAACAAAATAATAATAATGGAAATTCACACAACAAACAACACAAATAAAATCAAACATAGAATTAAATCGAAAAATAATACTAACTTGTATCTCATTAGAGAAAGAAATCTATATTGAAAAAATATTTTTGTGAGTGTATAAGATGGGATAATAAATGAAACCCTAATTTTGAGAAGATATAGAATAGATTTACTTATTACATTAGTATATATAGTATGGGGTGGGCTTAGTTATTAATAAGATGGATATAGAAGGGGTGAACTTAATATTTTAATAATAAGAAATTAAATGAAGTAAGAATGGATATTTGTGAGCTAGGAATAGCCCCACCCAATTCTTAATTTCAATGAGCTCNATAAAAAATAACAAGAAATAAAAATTAGGCTGCAATATTGGAGTAATTCTAACAATAGTATATTTTATCCCAAGTGTACCAAATGGATGCACATATAGAAAAATATCAATCGATATCCAAAAAAATTCAACCCAATTATAAAGATAGAATTTAAGTCTTGAATTTTAATCTTTCAACAGGGTTAATGGGTTCCTCCACTTGGTCAATGGATCTCTGATCCAACCATATGTTCATCCGGGTCCTAACAAGTTTAATGAAAAAAGAATCTTAATGTTAATCCAATCCAATTTAGGCACCAGGTTGGCCCGCCAAGCCGATAACAGTGCTGCTCAATTTATATTTTTATTGACCTCCCTTAAATACAAACAAATTCTTAGAAACTATTATCTCAAGTCNAGGGTGCCAGTTGTCTCTCTCCAAAGATCTGTAGTATTACCATCCCCAATAATGTGTTGCACACAGTTCCTCAAACAATCTCTAATCTTAAGCAAATTCCTCCAATTTCAAGAACAAGACCAGAGTTTTTAGAATCCAAAAATTCTTATTCTTCACATAAGAATAATTCAGAAATTCTTATTTTTGGAATTTTTATAACTCAATAACTAATGCACTGTTATTGAGTTATATGCTTTGATTAATGTTAGGAAGCTCTCTGCTCTTATTGACAAGAATCAAAAGTGAAAACATGAGAAAAAAGATTTTACAATCTGATATTAGAGATCTTACATTGACGTGAGCATCATCTTGGAGGCTGTAAACTACACGACCATCAACCTCTGCCTGCAAGTAATGGCATTTGGCTTGAATGATATCCACCTCATCCTTACTGCACCAATTGAAATAATAAACATATAGCAACACTTAATTGAATAAAGATGACTAGACAGTTAAAATAAATAGTTTTATTTTGCAGAAGCCAATGTTACAATATATTTGGCTATTCATCTTAGAAGCAAGCATGAGTGCATGCCTCTAAATAGAGAGTAGTAGTCACAATCTTACCCGTTTGAACCACTGCATGAAACAACCTTTGTCCCCTTGCCCTGCGTATTTAAAGAAGTCATCAATCACACCGCTGGAGAAGAAGTTAAAAACAGAGACAAATAATGCTTATGTTTCAGATTATGAAACTGAAAAATCTTACAAGCTGCACATCCATAGAGTTCAAATTTACAACTCTATATTTTACTGAGCAAAAAAGCCCAGAAACTCTTAAATACACAACAACATACCCAAAAAACGCAAAAAAAAATAAAATATGAATTTGTTTAAGTATTTACTTGAAAATCAAACACAAGTAAAAAGGTTAAAAACTCTCCGATNTACATTAAGTATATGTCAGTAAGAGCATTAAAGAGAAAACCAAATCGTTAGGCATAGAAGAGGAGGAGATCAGTGACGTGTTCACATGAAACGTATGTAAAATGACCAAGAAAATTAAATTTGTCTCACTTTGAGAGTAGATANAAAAAGGTTAAAAACTCTCCGATACAATTATATACACACGAATTTCTATGAACACAATGATAAGGGATAGATATGTACAATTTGATATCTGTGTCTATATTTACATTATTGAGTCGAAACAGACAGAAGAAGAAAAGTTCAAACCTTCCCTTTGTACCGATCAGGCCATCGCCGCTNTAAAATATGAATTTGTTTAAGTATTTACTTGAAAATCAAACACAAGTAAAAAGGTTAAAAACTCTCCGATACAATAATATACACACAAATTTCTATGAACACAATGATAAGGGATAGATATGTACAATTTGATATCTGTGTCTATATTTACATTATTGAGTCGAAGCAGACAGAAGAAGAAAAGTTCAAACCTTCCCTTTGTACCGATCAGGCCATCGCCGCTGCGCTTCTTCCTTTTCTATCGGTTCGCCGAGAAACCGACACTCTTCCACATCCTCTTCAGTAATATGCTTCGTACACTTCCTCGCAGTGATCGGCCTCATTTGAGCTTCACTGGAGTCGGCTCGATTTAGCAAGACTTGTTCTTCTTCTTCTTCTTCTTCTTCTTCATTCTCCAAATAAGCTACTTCTTCTTCGTTCGCCAAAACGGCTTCTTCTACGAAGTCGTTCTCAGAAACCGAAGGAGATTTCGCTGTTGAAGCCGTTTTCGAGTTCAAAATTGAAGCCTCTTCGAGTCTTTTCGACTTCTTAGTAGGAGTAGATTGACGAATNAGCAAGACTTGTTCTTCTTCTTCTTCTTCTTCATTCTCCAAATAAGCTACTTCTTCTTCGTTCGCCAANCACATTAAGTATATGTCAGTAAGAGCATTAAAGAGAAAACCAAATCATTAGGCATAGAAGAGGAGGAGATCAGTGACGTGTTCACGTGAAACGTATGTAAAATGACCAAGAAAATTAAATTTGTCTCACTTTGAGAGTAGATAGGCTCATTTGCCAAAATCTAAATTCTAATATCGTTAGTTTTGAAGAATAAAGGACNAAAACGGCTTCTTCTACGAAGTCGTTCTCAGAAACCGAAGGAGATTTCGCTGTTGAAGCCGTTTTCGAGTTCAAAATTGAAGCCTCTTCGAGTCTTTTCGACTTCTTAGTAGGAGTAGATTGACGAATCGAAGAAGCCATTCGCTTGCGAACCATTGTAGAAGGCGAGAGAGTGAGGGACAGAGGTTCTGAATGGGTGGCTATGGAGATTGGTTGTCGATATAGAGAGAGAAATAGATATGTATGTAATAATGTGAACGGGGTTTTAGAGAGAGAGACAGAGGTTTTAAGTAGTGGCGTCGAAATTTTGAAGAGTGGAGGGGGTGGGCGGGAAAGTCGGATTTTTTAATGGCTGGGGGGCCGGTGAGGCTATTTTGAGGTAAATTATACTCACACCCCCTGAATTTTGTCATTATATTACTTAGACCTTTTAGGTATAAGTTAACAACAGACAAATACAAAGATTTCTTCTAATAATATTCTAACACTAGCAATCATCTTGTGCTTGAAGACATACTCAAAATCGAGTATTGATCACCCAATATTTTTTCCATTAAATTATGTGATTTCAAAACTAAATTGAAAAGGAAGAAAATAAGAGAGACGTAGGAAAGAGAAAAGAGATATATAGGTGTGGATTAGTAGGTTATTTGACATTGGGGAATATTTTAGTTGAATTGTCTGAAATTCAAAGACTATACAAAGAAAATGATGTTTTTGAGTGAGAAAAAAATTTTAAATGAATTTTATACCATTGAATCAAGTAGTAGATGAAAATTGTATCAATATAAGTTAAGATAAGAATTTAATTTTTTTAGCTGTNTGTTGGGATATAATTCCTAACCAAACATCTGCAGCATAAGAACACTCAAAAAACAAATGATTATGGGACTCCATTGCATTTAAACAAAGAACACACTCAATTCCCAGCTGAAGAGCATATGCCACTGTTCTATCTCTAGTATTAAGCTTCCCTTGATTTGCAATCCAAAGAATGAAGCTCATTCTTGGTATCATTTGGCTAAAACAAACTAATTTATGCCACGGGACTTTAGAAGCTGTCATCCTTAGAAATTTCCAAGTGGAATAAGCATAATACACACCATTGCTTNGAGAGAGGTTTTAAGTAGTGGCGTCGAAATTTTGAAGAGTGGAGGGGGTGGGCGGGAAAGTCGGATTTTTTAATGGCTGGGGGGCCGGTGAGGCTATTTTGAGGTAAATTATACTCACACCCCCTGAATTTTGTCATTATATTACTTAGACCTTTTAGGTNCGAAAAATTTATCAAAACCCAAAAGAAAATTAAAAAAAAAGATCAAGAAAACAAAAGAAAAAATCTATCACCGGAAAAATAAAAAACAAAACAAGCTTTCTAATTCACAAACAACACAAGCCNTTTACGTGAAACCCATTATTATGCCTAAGAAACCGCATAAAAATTCATTAATTTCTCATTTTTTATCGACACCTTAAAAATGAATAATATATATTATTTTAACAACAGACAAATACAAAGATTTCTTCTAATAATATTCTAACACTAGCAATCATCTTGTGCTTGAAGACATACTCAAAATCGAGTATTGATCACCCAANTATACACACACACACACACACACATAAACCCTAAATCAAATTATTAAACTTGACAAAGTTACCAAAACAAAATAATAATAATGGAAATTCACACAACAAACAGCACAAATAAAATCAAACATAGAATTAAATCGAAAAATAATACTAACTTGTATTTCATTAGAGAAAGAAATCTATATTGAAACAATATCTTTGTGAGTGTATAAGATGGGATAATAAATGAAACCCTAATTTTGAGAAGATATAGGATAGATTTACTTATTACATTAGTATATATAGCATAGGGTGGGCTTAGTTATTAATAAGATGGATATAGAAGGGGTGAACTTAATATTTTAATAATAAGAAATTAAATGAAGTAGGAATGGATATTTGTGAGCTAGGAATAGCCCCACCCAATTCTTAATTTCAATGAGCTCAAAATAGTTGGTAATAAGCAACTCCATTGTTCACCATGCATAATATCTCTGACTTTAGACCCCAAAGAAAGGCCAGCTTCATAAGAACATCTAGTACTCCATTTTACCACCAAAAGTCCCATAGGGTGCCAGTTGTCTCTCTCCAAAGATCTGTAGTATTACCATCCCCAATAATGTGTTGCACACAATTCCTCAAACAATCTCTAATCTTAAGCAAATTCCTCCAATTTCAAGAACAAGACCAGAGTTTTTAGAATCCAAAAATTCTTATTCTTCACATAAGAATAATTCAGAAATTCTTATTTTTGGAATTTTTATAACTCAATAACTAATGCACTGTTATTGAGTTATATGCTTTGATTAATGTTGGGAAGCTCTCTGCTCTTATTGACAAGAATCAAAAGTGAAAACATGAGAAAAAAGATTTTACAATCTGATATTAGAGATCTTACATTGACGTGAGCATCATCTTGGAGGCTGTAAACTACACGACCATCAACCTCTGCCTGCAAGTAATGGCATTTGGCTTGAATGATATCCACCTCATCCTTACTGCACCAATTGAAATAATAAACATATAGCAACACTTAATTGAATAAAGATGACTAGACAGTTAAAATAAATAGTTTTATTTTGCAGAAGCCAATGTTACAATATATTTGGCTATTCATCTTAGAAGCAAGCATGAGTGCATGCCTCTAAATAGAGAGTAGTAGTCACAATCTTACCCGTTTGAACCACTGCATGAAACAACCTTTGTCCCCTTGCCCTGCGTATTTAAAGAAGTCATCAATCACACCGCTGGAGAAGAAGTTAAAAACAGAGACAAATAATGCTTATGTTTCAGATTATGAAACTGAAAAATCTTACAAGCTGCACATCCATAGAGTTCAAATTTACAACTCTATATTTTACTGAGCAAAAAAGCCCAGAAACTCTTAAATACACAACAACATACCCAAAAAACGCAAAAAAAAAAAAAAAATGAATTTGTTTAAGTATTTACTTGAAAATCAAACACAAGTAAAAAGGTTAAAAACTCTCCGATACAATAATATACACACAAATTTCTATGAACACAATGATAAGGGATAGATATGTACAATTTGATATCTGTGTCTATATTTACATTATTGAGTCGAAGCAGACAGAAGAAGAAAAGTTCAAACCTTCCCTTTGTACCGATCAGGCCATCGCCGCTGCGCTTCTTCCTTTTCTATCGGTTCGCCGAGAAACCGACACTCTTCCGCATCCTCTTCAGTAATATGCTTCGTACACTTCCTCGCAGTGATCGGCCTCATTTGAGCTTCACTGGAGTCGGCTCGATTTGGCAAGACTTGTTCTTCTTCTTCTTCTTCTTCTTCTTCATTCTCCAAATAAGCTACTTCTTCTTCGTTCGCCAAAACGGCTTCTTCTACGAAGTCGTTCTCAGAAACCGAAGGAGATTTCGCTGTTGAAGCCGTTTTCGAGTTCAAAATTGAAGCCTCTTCGAGTCTTTTCGACTTCTTAGTAGGAGTAGATTGACGAATCGAAGAAGCCATTCGCTTGCGAACCATTGTAGAAGGCGAGATAGTGAGGGACAGAGGTTCTGAATGGGTGGCTATGGAGATTGGTTGTCGATATAGAGAGAGAAATAGATATGTATGTAATAATGTGAACGGGGTTTTAGAGAGAGAGACAGAGGTTTTAAGTAGTGGCGTCGAAATTTTGAAGAGTGGAGGGGGTGGGCGGGAAAGTCGGATTTTTTAATGGCTGGGGGGCCGGTGAGGCTATTTTGAGGTAAATTATACTCACACCCCCTGAATTTTGTCATTATATTACTTAGACCTTTTAGGTATAAGTTAATTTACGTGAAACCCATTATTATGCCTAAGAAACCGCATAAAAATTCATTAATTTCTCATTTTTTATCGACACCTTAAAAATGAATAATATATATTATTTTAACAACAGACAAATACAAAGATTTCTTCTAATAATATTCTAACACTAGCAATCATCTTGTGCTTGAAGACATACTCAAAATCGAGTATTGATCACCCAATATTTTTTCCATTAAATTATGTGATTTCAAAACTAAATTGAAAAGGAAGAAAATAAGAGAGACGTAGGAAAGAGAAAAGAGATATATAGGTGTGGATTAGTAGGTTATTTGACATTGGGGAATATTTTAGTTGAATTGTCTGAAATTCAAAGACTATACAAAGAAAATGATGTTTTTGAGTGAGAAAAAAATTTGAAATGAATTTTATACCATTGAATCAAAGTAGATGAAAATTGTATCAATATAAGTTAAGATAAGAATTTAATTTTTTTAGCTGTAATATTATGTAGATTAGCAATAACTCCATGCCTTAATATAATCTATAATTTAATGACCAATATATATATAATCTGTAATTTCAAAAATCAATTAAATAATAATTTATTTGTTAATTACAAAATATAAAATCAAAGCAAATAGTGAAAAATAAGAGATATGTAGGGAAGAGAGAAAAGAGAAATATGTGCGGATTAGTGTGGTTGCCTAGAATTGAAGAGAATATTAGTTGAGTTGTTTGACATTGAGACCGTGAAAAAAATTTGACTTTTTTTTTACGGTTTTATTGTGCTTTTATAAATGTACAATTCAAATTATTAGCTATAAAATTAGCTCAAATTATTAGCTATGGAGCCACCTCATATCAATCATAAAATAGGGGTGTTAATCGACTCAATATTGAGCTTAAGTTTGTCGAGCTCATTTTTCTAACGAGTCTAAAAAATTGTTCAAACTTGACTTATTTAAAACTTAACCCGGCCCCGAACCCGAATAGCTCGACTATTTTACATATAAACAAGTCAAGCTTTGCGAACTTGAGTTGAACCTTTTAAACTCGTTTAAAAGAACGAGTCTAAAATATTGTTTAAGCTCAATTCGAGTCTTATCTGAGCCAAATTTGAATAACACGTCTCAATTAACACCCCTAATCACAACCTCCATAATCCATGTATCATAGTCTCACTAGCCCCCTCTGTAAACCACCTCAGTAACCACCCCTTCATCCCACTAATTAGCTACCACTTCTTCAATTTATTTAAAAAAAATAATTCTATCACAGTATACTTTACAATAATTCTTACCCAATGTCCCTATTGATGGAAGAAAAATTTTATATTATTAATAAAGTGAGGAGGGTAGATTTGTTGTCATATCCATTTACAATTAATCAACAGTGATGAAGGGGGGATTTGATGTCCCTCCTCATCAAACGAATGTCAACAGTTTTCCACGGGTTTATATCTGTACAACTCTCTCCATATTAAAAATGTGTATTCATCTATCTTTCTAACAACCAGTACTAAATACGCCACGTCAACCAACACTTTTCCACAAGAAGGCCCATATGAGATATTAAACTGCCCCAATCTATATTGCAGACATGTTACATCAGTATTGTAGGTACAAAGTAAAGGGATAAAAACATTGAGAAAGGGGCAAGCAAGACTAAAAACAATCAAATAAGTACTTGGAAAAAGGTTAGTCAACTTTGTTGTCAATCAGGACTAAACCTTAGATGTGAACAAAGGCAGCCCGCGAACCCCGCATGGAGAGTCCATTCTCTAGTCTCCTTGCTCTGAAATTGATTCTCTCCAGGAACGCCAAGTTTAGAGGCAAGGCAACCATCGATACATTCGAGGTGCTTTTACACTCAGCTAAATTTACCAATTTCCATCTTCTTTCTGATTGCTTTTTGGCCATGATATACAAAAGAATCTAAAATCCCCGAAACAGTAAAAACACCTGAACACAGTAACCCAAACACATTAAGTATATGTCAGTAAGAGCATTAAAGAGAAAACCAAATCATTAGGCATAGAAGAGGAGGAGATCAGTGACGTGTTCACGTGAAACGTATGTAAAATGACCAAGAAAATTAAATTTGTCTCACTTTGAGAGTAGATAGGCTCATTTGCCAAAATCTAAATTCTAATATCGTTAGTTTTGAAGAATAAAGGACTTGCAAATGTCGATAATACTTGTGTGATATTAGAACTTTACAAGCAATCCAAATTATTTGTCGCACAAAACTCAGCAAGTTCTTGAATGGTGGGGTTTGACAGAGATTAAAGAGGTGCTCTCATGGAAAGGGTGATGGGGGAATAGAGAAAGAAAAGCTGAAGAACTTCAATTAGAAGTTGCATGAAACAGAACCAAAGCTAAAGAACCATAAAAAACAGAATCTTTGGTCTCCCACTCTAGCAGCATGGAGTATGCAGAAAGACGTGACAAGAAGGAGACTCAAAAAGAAACACAGCAAAAATCAACACTGAGCGAGAGAGAGAGAGAGTATTACCTCCAACTATAGCACAGACATTTGTCAGGAAGTGCAAGAATGAAACATGTTCCTCTGTGAAAGTCACCTGGAAAGATATTAAAAATGACAAAGAAGTAACAGAATTATGCATACTCCAAGTTATAGTAGCTCATTTCTGTCACACAAAAAAAAGTTGGGGAGAGCGGGGATCAGCTTGATTGAATGCATTCTAAGCATTTTATGTTAATTAGATATGGTGGCCTCAAATTGATTATCGTGAGAAAAAATGCACTGGAATGGATCACATGAAAACTTAACCAGTCAATCTTCATCAATCATCACAAACAAGGTAATAATGACAAGTTCTTAACCTTCTTTTGAAAACAAAACCCACCTTGATTGGCGAAAGGTCATAGAAAAAGAAAACTCCGGGAAGAGCCTGAAGGCGTCCTATCTCACTACCCCTAAAATGCTCAGTTACAGAGAACTGCACAGAAAAAAATTGGTGCATTTCATGTTATGTTTCAGTAAAAATAGGACCAAAACCGGACAAAACTTCAATGCAGTAGTCATACCTGATTCGACTGGATGGTATGCCCACTGACATCTGTGTATACAGTAGGTACCACCTGCAGTACAGAGAAGAGGTTTTTTGTAATCCACAAGATCTGGCTTAAGGTTAAACCTATTTTCTCATTCTCACATTTACTACCAATGAGTCTTTGGTCCAATGATACTTCTTACCTTGTGAAAGTTTTGCCTTCTTGAGGTCAAGGGCCAAGTCCCCCCTCCCCCCCCCCCCCCCCAAAAAAAAAAAAAAATTCTCACATTTACCCACATCCAAAAAAAATAAATTTGTCAACAGCCTAAAATGCTAAAGCTATTCAAGGTTTACTGAAGTCATGGGTTCGAATCACTTTTGAGCTTTAAGTATTGTTGTTGCCTACCACCCATTCTCCTCCTCCCAGAGCCCCCTAGAAGTAGTTGAGTTTAGCTTGATTTGGAATTTTAAGCATGCTACCCTGGATTATCATGGTAAGGTCACTAAAACAGTAGTGGTCAACTGCTTGTGGTGCAACAGAATTGGTATGCATGACATTAATCAATTTGCAGGGTTGTTAAATATCTTATGTTAACTAAAAAACCCCCGAAATGTTACCGAAAACAACTTATTCCATCCAATCAATGATAGAACCAAATATGGTCAAATATCCTTGATGGTACAACTGAACATGATTCCGTGCAATCCATTTTGGCAAAGAATTTTGCAACACTTGTTGAATCATGAGAGGAATGAGATTCATAAGTACATTTAAAACTTAAAAGTGTGAGTAAAATTTATACATGAAGTTATTAGTATTTGAATAGGAAAACAGCCGAACAAACGAGAAGATCCATGTCCTGTTATGGCCCATAATGGACATGCACCATAGCAATTCCTAAGGACTGATAAAACTGTGAGTTACACGCACCAAATATATTAATTTTTCTTAGTGATGGGTTACAACTACTCAATTTTTAAAACCATCTCATTACTAAATGGACCCAAATCAAATATGCTGAAGGAACGGCTGACGTTTCATTAGTATTCATTCGTCTCTGACAAAAATTCCAAGAGGGTTTAACTCTCATTTTTTTCCTGGCACATTCTTATGAAGTCATCAATATTTGATTCATCTTTAAAATAAAAAAGTAAAGGCAAGGATGCAAGACCTGCGAGATATTGCAAACAGTTAATCTAAATCTCCCTAATTTTTTTTTTTTATATATAATCTAAATCTCCCTAGTCCCTACACTCACAATCAAATAGTTTGGAAAAACTGGAAAAATCTGCAAAACTGTGTTTCAAGCTATTGGTATTTGAAAACATCTTAACGAACAAGTTCTAAACCTTTGAAATCATCCTGGCTTTCTAAAGTTAATGAGTGAATCAACCTTATCACAAGAGCAGTTTCGTTGTGATTAAGACAATTAAGCCTAGGGCGAGTAATTGCCTCGCAAGATGCATCAGCACAAACTTGACCAATCAGAATCTAACAAAGCACTAGAGGCACCGCTCCCAGGCAAATTTGCCAAGCCAGTTTTCTTCTTTACTCAGCAAAAGCTCAAACAAACCAATCAGGAAATGACCATGGACATGTGAATTGTTTCTAGAGACTCTTGAAGCAAGAAAACATAAGCATTTAGGCATTTACTAATTTTATGTTTTTGCAAAAGCCAATGGCTTATGCTACAAGTATTTGCTTGTTCAGCCTCGCCAAAGCATCAAATACCTATGCTTTGGCCATTCAAAGTTCAAACCACTGATATATAAAGCTTCCTCTTGAGATCACAAAGAGACATAAACCATGATGTAGTTCATGTATGGTGGTAATCTAAATTCTAAAGGCTAATACCTTGGTGTGCATAAGTAGAGTAGCACAAATAAATGAAAAATCAAAAACCAATGACTACAGAGGCATTCATCGTACTCGTAGAATGCATACCTTCAGAAAATACTGATACATCCCATTTGGTGTTTGTTGTGTCCATTGCACACTGCAAGTCCAAGCATTAAGAATTAAAAAAGATTTTCCAATATATTGCATGTCACAATGATGAAAGAAAATGAGCAAAGCAAACCACATTAAAGGACCTAGTCAAATCAGGAAAGAGAAGTACCCATCAAGAGGATTCACAACACCAGGGAAATAGTCTCCAAATGTTAATCTACTGATCTTGTGACTAATCTGTGTTAGGAGAAAAAGAAAAAGAAAATAAAAAGAAGTAGAGAGCTTCATTATTAGAAAAAAATTATAATATAATAGTACGTCGTATGTACTATACATCAATAGCAACAAGTGAAATCATCACAATGATATCTTACGTTAAAACTGTCCTTTTGAAATGCTAGCAGATCGTGCACATGAACATTTGATTGCTGGAAGCTTTTTCCAGGTGCGAAATGAAAATTTCCAGCCACCTTATTGACTTCCAAGAATCCATACATGTTACATCCTTCACCTTCTTCATCCTTAATTTTTTGTAGAAAACCTTCTCTTTTGCACTGATGCCACATAGAATGCCAGGAAAACCAAACATATAAGCTCAAAATCATGATAAGATGTTGCAATTGATGTGTTCATGAATTCCAAGCACAAATCATGCTCAGCCTATTATAATAAAAGGGAAGGGGTAATCATCACTTTCAAAGGTGGTGCAACCAAAATCATAGGAATTAATCAACCATGATGTACCTTCTCACAAATTCAAACAACAGTGAAACTCAACGAATAATTATAGGTTTTGGCCGGGAGCTTATACATCACAAGGAATAGTTGAAGTGAAGTAAGATGCACATGCATGCACAGCAGGGGCAATAAAAGAGGAGGTGTATCTTTTAATGTAGAAAGACGATGATTGTAAGTATCCACTAACGCTCACAACTTATCACAGGACATTGCGCACCACCAGAAAAATGAATTCAGTTGATGTTGGTATGAATTCCATCAAATTCAATCACATGCAGACATTAAATCCTTAGTAGAAAACCTTCTCTTTTGGACTGATGCCACATAGAATACTAGGAAAACAAGTGTAATGGGACAGACATTTACTTTTCCCCGAGAATTGGAGAAAAAGCCTTGGCGATAATAAAGGTTTAATATGGAGATTTTGAAACTCACCATGACCAACGGCCCTGAATGAAGCTTCTGCAGCTGCCCTTAATGTACAAGCAATTATAAGTGCCACGAATTTCGAAAATAAACCAGTGATCTCCTCGCTCTAGACACCTTACAAGCCAAAACAAAGGTGCAATTTTCTGCCTTTCCCCCAACAGTATCTCTTCTTTTTTTTTTCTTTAATAGTTCAGTTAGGATTGTATTTGACTTCTGTTTTTCCTTCATTAAATAGTTCTTAAATATAATTCTAATATTGCATTTCTTATTCTCTAGGAAACTAGCAATTATCCACATTACTCCCTCTCTTTCCTCCACAAAGGTTTGTGATGTTTCTGGTTGGGAATAGTAGCACTTTTTTGAACAACCTTTTGAAAATGGGAACAAGCACTTATTATGGCTCGGAGTCCAAGGAAGACAAGTATCTATAATCTAAGTGTTGTTCCAAGAAAAAGTATCTAATTCCTACTAATAGTTAGTTGTATTTATCTATAGTTTATATTAATACTTATGTTAGTAGGAAGACGAGAGGGGGCGTTTTTTGGACTGCTAAAATTCTATTGTGAGAGTGCTTTAAGCATTTGCTTGAGAGTTGAGTGATTTGTCTCTTGACTGTGAGTGAGTGCTCTACTTGGTTGGGTGATTCTCCGACTATCTTTCTTGTTCTTTGACTTATTAGCTTTCCTGTCTTAATATCAATCAGAGTCCTGTATTTCCATCTTTTAATACATCATATCTAATAAAAATATAGCACCAAAGGGCTACTGCCTTATGCAGTCATATCATTGAGGCAAGTGCAGCTTCACTGGGAAAAGAATGCCTTCACCAATGGCCTTCCCTAAAAGAAGAACTCAAGAAAGTAAGGTAAAACTAACACTCTATAGTCGTAGTAGGGATCCTAAACAAAGTCGGAATTTTGGAGCATTGGTATCATGATTCACAAAGAAATCAAATTCCAATTCCAATTCCAATGTCAGCATAGCCCAGAGTCTTAATCGTCAATGATGTAAGAATTCAAACAAATGCTCAGATAAAAATAAACCGAAGGTGAAGACCTTGGGCCACATGTGTTTCTGTTTTGCGTTCTGTCCATTAGGCGCTATCATTAGCCCTGTGTGTTTACAGCAAAGTTAAGTTGATGGTTAAATCATTGACGATTACTTTGTATCTACATTATGTGTATGAGTTGGCAGTGGGGATCCATAGGGTTTTCCTAAATGTTATTTGTAACTTAAGCTAGACAACAATAACTATACAAGCATGCTTAAGCAGCATAACTAACAATATTTTTCTATCCAAATGCAGGAATCTTTACTGAGGCAACGTACATAATGGTTTTTTTATGCATAAAAAGGATCCAATTTTATTTGTGCATGCTGTGAACATTAGGTAGGAACAAAGAAATTAGGCAATTTCTGCCAGGAGACTGTTTATTTCTCATCTCCATTTCTGACGTTTCAGAACTAGCATCACTCAACCAAAATAGGAGTCGCCTTTCCCATCCCCAAAGGTCCAGTACAATTCGGACCCATTAACAGACACCACAAGATTGAAAAAAATCTATGTTCAGGACAGACCATACAGCATTAGGTAGATTCCACAACTCGAATACGTATCCATAATAACTTAGAAATAAAAGGGGGTGGGGAATCTTGGGAAGAAAAATAATGCCTTGTTAGGAAAGTGGTTATGGAGGTTCCCAATAGAACAGGAAGCGTTGTGGCATGCAGTTATCAAAAGCATATATGGCCTTCTTCCTAATGGGTGGGACTCGAATGTGGTGGTGAGGGGATCATCTAGATGTCCGTGGAAATTTATTTCACAAGGTTTATTGGTTTTTTTGAGGAATGTTGACATGAGAGTGAGGAATGGTGAGAGAGTTCGGTTTGGAATGATGTATGGGTAGGGGATCTTCGTTTTTCTTTGGCTTATCCTCGACTTTTTAGATTGTCTAGATCTCAAGATGACTCCATTTCAAGTATGTATTGTGTCTCTTCATCTCAGGGGGGTTGGAATTTCAATTTCTTTAGGGCTTTAAATGATTGGGAATCATCGGAACTTGCATCTTTGTTATCTTTGATTCAATTTGTGTCTTTATTGGTAGGAGTGGTGGATAGGAGAAGGTGGGCTTTTGACTCTTTGGGAGTTTTTTCTTGTAAATCTTTCTTTCATATGTTGGTTGATGATCAGTGTGTTCCAACTTTTGAACCCCATAAAACGATTTGGAAGGCTAAAGTCCCCGTCTAAGGTAAAAGTTTTTGCTTGGACAGTGGCTCTTAGAAAGACTAGTACCTGTGATGTGTTACAAAGAAGACGATCAAAAAACCTGTGATGTGTTACAAAGAAGACGATCAAAGTTTTTGTCTTTCTCCACATTGGTGCATTTTGTGTAGGAAAGCTAGTGAAAGTGTGGACCATATCTTTCTCCACTGTCCGAGGTGATGAAATTGTGGTTTAAAGCTTTAGGGGAGTTTGGTTTGAGTTGGGTGGTTCCGAGAAGTTGTTCCTTTCTTTTGGAGATAAACTATGGGGTGTTTGGGAAAGGGTGTAGAGCATCCACTTTATAGGAATGTGTGGTTTTGGCAATGTTATGGTTTGTTTTGTCGGAAAGAAATAACAGATTTTTTAAGCAAGAGAAGAAAGGATAGAGTTTCTTTGGGATAAAGTAAAATACTTGGTGTCCTTGTGGGCTTCTATGGAAAATGAGTTTTAGGATGTACCTTTCTATTTCCTTACTAATGATTGGATAGCTGCATGTAGCTAAGGGAGTTCTCGTGGTGGCATAGGACTTGGAGTTTTTTTATTGATGTAATTTTCTGATTAGGTTCATTTTTGGTTGGATTTCTTGTCCACCCATGATGTAAACTTTCTTATTTAATGAAAGTTTTTGGTTTCTATAAAAAAATATAACTTAGAAATAAAAATGTAGTCGTGTACTTCGAAATTTATAATAACTTTTTTTTAAGATTTGAAAATTTTGAAAAGGAGTCTTTAAGCAGCGTCCTTTTGAGAATTCTGAAGGGTCCCATATGCAATTGTGAAATGAGCTGCTTATCTTTCGATGGAAGCAACTAAATAATTTTGGCTGTGAAATCTTTCCTCCCAAAACAGAGGAAAGGAATAACCACTCATACACAATAAAAAGATAGCAATAACTAAAGGCACATTTTCCTTCATGCATTGCAACAATAAATTATTAATGTCAACTAAAGCATCTTGGGTCCAACATAGTACACTGGTAGTTCTAACAAACAAAAAAAATGGTAAATACGAAGAGAGAAAAGAGAGGGCGGGGGGTTTAGAGACAGAGAGGCTAAAAGACCTGGTCTACCAAATCTGGATTTGACATCGCCCAACCTTTCTTTCGATATGCTTCACGAACATCTTCACAGGAGTTACAACAATCATCATCTGACTGCAAAATAAGGGGAAAGTAGGTGAAAACTCATGAGCAACATAATCCAAAACTTTTGGATTTTGCTGACTTCGCAGCCTTCAGGAAAAATGCCTAATGGACACCAAAAAAACAGGATTGAAGAGAAATAACATATGGACAGATGCTTCCAAAATAAATTAACAAGATCTATGCATATGGACAAGCGAAAAGAACATGGCTACTATCCTAATGGAAATTAAAATTCATATGTGCAGAAATAGTATATAAATATCTATCAATCTGGCCTTAGACAATAACTCAGACCAATAAACCAACACAATACCAATAAACGGGAAAAAAATAAACCAAGAAGAAGAAACATAATTTGTTCCAAATACTCAGTCCTGTAGGATTATGGGGTTGCCTTACGAACAAAATCAGAAATGTCAGTGTCTCCACTTCATGACCATGATCTGCGGCATATACTATAAGAAATAATCAAAAAAATTTAATCGAGCGAAATTCTCAAAAATTGACATAAACCTTAGGGAAGAGCTCTTGATAAATTTTCTGATAAAATATCAGAACACAAATTTTCCACAATGCCTTTTCATTTCATCATTGCAAGAATATTATTGCAACCTCCAAAAAATGTACAAAATGCCAATTTTAATAGTCCTGGTTCGATGTCAAGAGAGTAAAAGAAAAAAAGAAATGAGCACACATATTCGAAAATTAGAAAAACTAATCTACCACTAAGAAACAAAGATTTTTTAAGTTTGTATATTGCTGTTTGAGAAAGTGAAGGGCAAACAGCCCAATACACATATAATACAATACATGTCCAAGCTCATGAGAGGCTAAGACGGTTCGAAAGAATTCCATTTAAGGTCCAATAGAGAATGAAAAAATGGGAAGATAAGGGGGAAGAGGAAATAGAAAAAAGGGAAAAGGGGGGGGGGGGGGGG